TGTTACACCTTCTTGTTGAATTGTTTGCATATCTGTCATAGCACTATGACTTACACCACTAGAACAAAAAACAAAATTCGATTAAGAAAAAAAAGAAAAAGACAAATCTTACGTTCGATTACCAAAACCCATGCCAAGACGTTCCATTTGTTCGGCTTTTTGTGGATTAGATTGTTTTAATTTTGTTTCTTCTACTTCACGTTGTTTACTTAAATCTTGATAAACAAATTTAAGACCTGCCCTAAAATACAAAAACAAAAAAGAAGATAATTTATGATTATTTTTATGATAAAAATAAACAAAAAGAAATCCAATCTTTGATTGTACATACATTTGTTTTTCAAGTTGTTTTTCTGTTTCTTCACGGTTTTTTATTTCAAGATTAGTTTGTTGTTCACGTATTTTTTCTTGTTCTTGTACATTACGTTCAATTTCTTTAAAGTCAGTTGATACTTTTTGTGCACCAAATCCTTTCTAAATATTTCAAAATTAATCATTCAAATAAAAAAAAAATCAAAGAAAATAAACAATTAATATGAACTTTTTTAGGTTGTGGTGCTCGACGTTGACCAATAGTTGATTTTTTTGGATCATGTACTTTTGGTGAACCATCATTATTCAATGCATTATGATCAACCGATGGTCCTTCTGTTTGTTGCTCATCTAAGAAAAGTAGAAAATAGAAATAAAGAAAGAATAAAGAGTAGAAAAAAAAAGAATTACTTTTATCAGAACTTTGATTGCCTAACAATGATGAAGATGTGATATTATCTTCCCAAACTGTTTTTGCTGGTGCTTGAGAATGTTCATGAAAGAAATCACCTTCTTTTTTCTCACTTGTTGAATGACTACGTTCACCTTTATGGCCTTCGTCAAGAAAAAGCTAAATCAAATATAATAAATATCATTAAATATTTGTTGTTAGATTAAATCAACATGGTTCATATAATTTTTCTGGACTTTAATCTTTGATTTCGAAGTAATTATCTCAGAAATTGTCCATAGTAAAAAGGAATAGACTATTGAACGGTTAAATTTTGCTCTTGGATTAAAAAAAAA